GGAACACCAAAATATAGCAGGAACCTACTGTCATCTATGAAAATATATCAGAGAAAATACGTACATAGCAGGAAACTTCAACATAACAGATCAACAAGAGAAAAAATAAGCAAAGACCCTAAAGCTCTGAACAAGGACCTAGACAACATGGGTCTAATAGACACCTATAGAATACTGCCCTCCAAAAAATCTGAGTACACATTTTTCTCAAATCCACATGTATCCTTCTCTAGGACTGACCACATACTGGGTCACAAGATAAATATCAATAGATACACTAAGATCGAAATCATAACAACTATTTTCTCTGACCACGAAGGGTCAAACTAGAAATAAACCATGTAGAAGACAAGAAATCCACCTACCACATGGGGACTGAAACACACATGACTGGAGGACTGTTGGATCAATGAGAAGTACAAAGAAGAAATTAAAAAATACCTGGAGAACGACAATGATGACACAAGTCTCCAAAACTTAGGGGACACATTAAAAGCAGTTATAAGAGGAAAATATATAATACAGATTCACATGAAGAAACAAGGAATAACTCAAAGAAACAACCTAATCTCCCATCTTAAAGAACTGGAAAAAGAACAACAAAATAACCCAAAAGCCAGTAGAAGACAAGAAATAATAAAAGTCAAATCAGAAGCAAATGAAATGGAAGTTAGAAAAACAGTACAAAAAAGTCAATGAAAGCAAAAGTTGGTTCTTTGAAAAAATAAACAAGATTGACAGGCCACTAGCCAGGCTCACAAAGAAAAAACAAGAGAAAGCACAAATAAACAGAATCATTAATGAAAGAGGAGAAATCACTACAGATCCAGCAGAAATCAAAAGAATAATAGAATACTATGAACAACTATAGGCAAACAAGTTCGACTAATTAGCAGAAATGGGCAAATTCCTAGAACTCTACAACCACCCAAAGCTAACTAAAGAAGAAATAGAACAACAAAACAGGTCAATTACAAGCAAAGAAATTGAAGAAGTCATCAAAACCCTTCCCAGAAATAAAAGCCCAGGACCAGATGGATTTACAAATG